GCCCGCGATGTCTCCCAGCAGGGCTCACCCCACCGCGGGGGACGCAAGGATGCCCGGGGACAGCGCGTGGAGGGCAATGCCATCCCCTGGCTCAGGCTCCCCACTCTGTCCCCGCCAGTTCCCATCACGGCCCCAACACCAGCAGTGCCTGGGGCCGTGGGACCCCAAGGCAGCACGTGAGAGGGGGACAAGCCAGCAGCAGGCAGGGGGACCTCGTCCTTGTGTCCCCCCTCAATCCCCAGAGCTGGGTCCCACAGGGCTCTCCCACCCCCACCCCAAGCTGGGTGCCCCTGTGGGTGCAGCACAAAGCCCCCAATATCCATTTTGAGCCTTTGCCAGGGAAACGGGAGCCAGGAGCAAGAGGCCACGGGGCCGGGCACCGTCAGCCCCCGTCCTCCCCTGCCCGGGGACGTGGGGTGCCCACCGCCTGCACAGAAGCGACTCGGGGTTGCAGACAAGCCGGGTCAGCCGTATTTATTGAGAACAGTTGTGGAGGGATAAAAATATTTCCACTAGCTCTATAAGAATTTATAAACCTATACTCTGCTTATCCTTTAATAAATGCCTCTATCACCGTCATGCGAAGGTAGGTACTTCTGTAAGAAAAGAGCGAGATTAAAAAAAGGAAAGCGCTAATACAACCCGCGGGGCGCTGCCCGTGGGGTCCCTGCCCGTGGGGGCCAAGGGTCCCTCTGGCTGGCACCGGGGCCCGGGTGGCACATGCCGGACGCTGCCCCAGCACCCTGCAGCACCCACCCCAAGCCTTGGCCAGATGCAGCCCCCCCTCAGCCGAGCCGCCCGGATGCAAACCCCTCGCCCAGGGGTGAACCCACCCAGGGGACCCCGGCTGGGGCGGCCCTGCCTGGGAGGGGACACGTCCCCGTGCCAGCGAGCTCCCAGTGATCCCACTGCTTCCAGTTCTCCCTCCACCCTGAGCCTCGCCGTCCCCTTTCGTCTTTCCCCGTACCCAAGGGGGAGCAGGGAGCTGGGGGGCTGTTCGGGTCCATCTCCCCAGGGATGCCCTGCGGCCGCTAGCCCGGAGGTGGGGCCAGGGCTCGCCCCGGGGACACGAAGTGGTGATTTGCCGGGAAGCAACTCAGATGGGGACATCCTGGGGGGACACAGGGACACGACACAGTGCTCTGCAGGGCAGCAACAGGGCTGGGGACATCCTGGGGGGACACAGGGACACGACACAGTGCTCTGCAGGGCAGCAACAGGGCTGGGGACATCCTGGGGGGACACAGGGACACGACACAGTGCTCTGCAGGGCAGTAACAGGGCTGGGGACATCTGGGGGGACACAGGGACACGACATAGTACTCTGTGGGAAAGCAACGCGGATGGGGACAGCCTGGGGCGGGGGGACACACTGCAGTGCTCTGCAGGGCAGCAACGCCGAAGGGGTCATCACGGGGGAACAGAGACACAGAGCAGTGCTCTGCTGGGAAGCAACATGGACGTGGACATCCTTAGGGGACACACGGGGACACACAGTAATGCTCTGCCAGGAAGCAGCAGGGATAGGGACATCCTGGGGACACACAGGGACACCACAGACAAGCAAGTGGCACCAGGGGCCAAAATGCCGGCGGGGGATGATGCTGTTGCTGCAGGTCAGGAAGCACCACGGGCACAGGACAGTCATTATTGCTTTACAGGGCCAACATCAAGGGCGGGAGGCAGGCTGGGGACCCGGCCTCTGATTTGGGGTCA